TGTCAGCGGTGGTTAACACGTTAAGGAAAGGCTTCAATCTTGTTTCACTTTAGTAATGATGAAACCGTACGTTGATATCAACGTTTACAGGGAAAGGTAATTCGTGGAGGCTGCTCGCCACGCACTGTCAGATGACATTTAAAAGTTTAAAAGTGCATTACTTTGTAGTTTCTCATTTTTTTAGAAAATTCATGAAGAAGTACCGCAAATTTTAGATTTTCCTACGGACTAAATTGTAAATGAATTTTAAGCACTGAATTCCCATTTTTATTAATTAATTTATAGGTGTAAAATGCAAAGCTAATGCTTTTTCAAAAAAGTCCTTTTATTTACCTTAAATTTGATATGTGTTGTGGTACTTTATTCCAATAAATTATCACAAAATTTTATTTCAAAATACCTAAACTCATACAATACTCTCTACTTACAGATCGTATCAGTAGCACTTCCTTCACAAATACTGAGCAATGGTAATTAACAAATTTTAAATAAATTTGACCCTCCCGTGTTCCAGCAAATTTGGTTTAGTATCTTTGTAATCAAGGTTAATATATGTCGTCGCATTAAAAATTTATAAACGATGAATTTCAACACCTGCTACTCAATAAAACAGATCTTACTAGAAATAAACTCACCATTAAACATTTCATTTCTAAAGTATAAATAAATCTATTTTGTATCTGTGGGGATGAAGCCATTGATAACTGAATAACTTAGTACATAAATTCATGCACTTTCGGCTATGAGCTAATGTCTACATTATGCATCAGTGAGTCTGACCTAGAGCCGGTATAACGTTAAGTATGATTTTAAATAAACGAAAATCGAAATTTTGCCACTAATCCCTTCCTTATATTAAAAATATCTTCGTAATTATATTTAGTTTTCCATCTTAACATATTTTTTCCGCATTTGAAAATAGGTGTTGATACGTAATGAATAGTTGTACCGATTGAATGAAGAAAATTCGGTTTCCTTTAGCCCATTTAGTGTAACGAAATGTCAGTAATTATACATTTCATAGTCAGTTTGCAGTGGGCTTAGCGTTTTTTTACAAGTAATTTAGAAATGATGTCAGAATAAATTAGGAGATTTGTTGTAACTTCATGTAACCTCGGAACAGAAGGTCGTTAATTACAGTCCTTTATTACCCTTTTATATTATTTAAACATTAAAGATGTCGCTACCCTGACCATCCTCTTCTCAGCTCACTCGGTTAGAAAAATGAGTACTTTATGAATAAAGCAGTCGTAAAATTCCATATGTTTCGGAATTTGGCTGACTAAATGACATTCAGCACGCTTGGACAAAGAGGATGAGTTGAATCCCCATATCGTTCTATTTCTCTTATTTAGTTGCTTAGACTTGCTAGTAAAAAATATGAGTTCATAGGAAATGCTGTAATATAAATTTGTTTAAATATGCCTTTTCTAAGGAGATTCGATCGGTATACACGAACTTTCGGACAGAGCAAACACCATTGACCCCAGAGGAGGGAACGGACTCTGAGCTCATATAACTCCGCTTCCCTGTACATTTTTATAATACTTATCCAACGAAAGTTGTCCTCCTTTTACCGAAAGGAAAGAGGAAAACACCAAGCTTGTTATACCATTACAATCATCCCATTATCAAATAAAATGTCTTTCATTGAGGAATCCCTGTGAAAAGCAATGCAGATGTACCTCAGAGAACCTGTTATGTTCTAAGGCATTGTTTATTTTATTCTTTTTCGCGAAATACTTTTAGCAGTTCTGCACTCAGTTATTTTTATCTTCTCCTCAATATTAGCAGACGATATAGTGAGATACTGGGCTTTTTAACTTTGCCTTTTGCTGAAGTATGGTAGAAGGAGCCTCAGACCACTGGACAAATTAGTACCTCAAAAATACCTTCCTCTGTACAAAACAGGTAGATGAATGGCTTAAGGAAGGAAGAATAGAGTAAATAATCGTAGAAAAGGACAAATGAATTGAAGAATATGCCAAGATTATATAAACTGCTAAAGGTGGCAATATAACTGCCCCTGGTGCGGTGTAGTGCAACACCGGGGAGTGGACTTGTAAATAATTTATACCAATTTTTTGCATAAATTTCATTGCAGGAATCACATTAAATTGTCCATCTTCATGTGATAAGTACTAATACAATTTTGCTAAGCGCGCCTTATGATCCTACAGTAAAGTGGCTATTTAATTACTTCCACCCACCCTGCCGCACCTTCCATAACGTCCAGATTTGCTAAAGTACCTTCCTATGCTGTCCGTCATGTAACACCTTCACTTTCAAAAAGTTCCGGCTTCCATCTTTCCTTAAAATCATTTGAAGCGCGGCTACTTGGGAAACTTTTCCCTGCAAATTTAAATTCCATGATAAGAAGTATTATCAGGGAAGTTTGGATTGCCAAGAGAGATTACTGTTAACTCCTATTTGGGATATCTTTATTACTATACAATTTGTGGATTCCGATAAAGTAATGCAAAATAAATGGAACAAGCATTGTCGTTGTTTTATCTAGCTTAGGCGGGAATTTAGAGTCCACGCTCAGTATCGATTTGCTGTCACCTCTTACAAATCAAAACAGGCTTTCTTGAGTAGGATAAAGTTGGAAAGATTGTAGACCCACCATGGACATCAACCACCTCCTGCCTTCTCTTCCAGACTATTTTGATTGCATCAACCAATTGCTCTACCAATCTGGTGCCTCAGTTCAACAATTCTAGCTCCTCCTTGCAGCCTTCCCATGTCCCCAGGATGGTGAGGCTTCCGAAGGAGGTTACTTAGTTCAGCCTCAGTAATATTGACAACTTATTCTTTAGAGGGATCTTGCCTCTGCTTCACCTCACCCTACATCGCAGTCACAGCCCCAAGAATTGATTGATTTTGCCCTTTTTGACATTAGACTAGTGACGATGGACAAGTTGACCAATAACCGCGAATTTGACATTGACAATGGTTTCGTTAATCAATCAATCAAGATGTATGTTGCCCTCGTAAGGCTTTGAAATTTGAGGATCAATATGGAATTTTCCTCTTCTGTAGTTTCCATTAAATGGACGAACAGGTGAATTCCACAGTTAGCTCTATAATACTTGTTTCATTGGTGAAGTGGCATGAAGGGGTAGTGAGGAAATCCCGATTTGGAAGGCTTTATAACATGACAAAACATTCACCATCCTTCGTTTACGTGACATCAGAAAGCGAGTTGCCTCTAGTCACTGATACTTAGTCACGCGGGTTGAATGGGCACATGCC